TAAAAATCTTGTAAATAAAATTTCTTAACATTCTTTATATTTTTTTACTTACAAAATAATAAATTTGAGTTTTTCATCTATATTTTATAAATTATTATGAAAATTTGCTGAACGTTGGAAGTAATTAAGAAATTATGTTTTTTTTTCATTAATGAATGTAAAATAATTATATTGACTAAGTAACGTGTTTTTAATTAATATTTACAGCATGAAAATTGTGGTCATAAAATATGTAAAGTACACGTAATAATTTTTAGTCGCATAGTTTTAAAATATAATCTCACTGAAATATTCATGAAATTCGAAATATTCGAAAGTTGGTCAAAATTTTCATTCACTGCACACATTTTAAACTAAAAAAATATATATAAAACACTATGACGAGAGTGTAAAACTATCGCGCTTGAAACGGAAATAAAAATCTGTGCAATTTTGCAAGCAATTTGCTTGGAATTTAAATGGTTGCGGTGAGAGAGCCTCTCGCGATACTATGCAAAGTATTTCATCCAGTTTAATTGTGTTTTCAGCGCAAATAAGATGTGAATTTGTGCGAGGATTAAGAACAGGTTCGGATGATCGTTTATCGGCTTGGATTATCCTCGGACACTTTCAGATGCGATATCTCTACGTTCCGTTTTCATCCGACTCCCGATTTATGTGTTCTTCTCTATTTTATTTGCTTCTATTTTTTTCTTTCTTCCGTCGACGCGGAGCAGATTTATCTGCGAATTTATTCTCAATGTCAAACTTACCGATAACTAAAGGTGACTTCAGTATAGACAAAAAAAGTAAGTTTTTTAATGTTTTATGTAACTTTACCACAGTGGCCTACAATTATTTAACTCGAGTCATAGTCTGAACTAAATCTGTATACTTATACAAACACATCATTTACGTTGTTTTATTGACAATTACATCATTATATGAAAATATGTTTAATTGGAAAAAAAATATTAATACTTAAAAAAATCCGATAGATGGCGTTTTTCAAATTTCTAAAATTAAGCTGACAAACACCAAATTTATACGTGAATCGTTTATAAATGAGATGATTTCTTCTAAAATGATGATGAAATTCTTAAAAGTGGACCGAATTAGCACCAATAAAATATTGAAAATAAATAAATGAATTATCAATATTTTTATGAAATATGGTATTTCGGTGTATTTGAATGATTGAAGTATGAAAGGTACTTAGTTAAAATAAACAATTAATACATAAAATATCCGCTAGATGGCGCTTTTCAAATTTAGAAATTTAAGCAGAAACATCAAATTTGTACGTGAATGGTTTATAAATAAGAAAAGTATGTCGAATTAGGTAATATTATAAAATATATAAATTATCAATATTTGTATGAAACTTAATGTTTCTATATTTCGGTGTATTCGAATGATCGAAGGATAAAAAGGTACTTAGTTTGCATTATACAACGGTTACGTGTCTGCATACAACAGGCAAACTGCGAAGTGGATGAAACCTCAATTAAGAAACATCATCTCGCTCCCATCGCACGCGGATAATTATTCGAGCGAGCGTTTCTAATGCCGCATTACTTATGTAAGACGACGTCGCGACGCTTCCAGACGCCGGCGACAACACTTCATTACCGAAAATTAATCATTCGTCCATCAAACTATAACGATCACGTAACACCCCCCCGTTATCCTCCTGAACGCTACGCTATTTTTAGCGCTTCTTTTATCCTGCGTGTCCTGCGGAGTTTTTCAAACAAACTTTTGTAATAGGGAAAAAAGCGGACCGTTTGTGCAGCGAGAACAAAAAGATCTATTCAGTATTTAAATAACAGAAGATATTTTTGAACAGAAAACCGAATTATTATATCAAATAGATCAATGGAAACAGAAAATACATTTTCCTTTCCTAGTTCTGAATACTTTTTCATTTTGAGGATTTTTTTAAATCATAACCTTAAGTGGTTATGTCGAATATATTCGTCATGGTCATTTTTGCTTATGACGAATATATACGCTAGCGACAAAAATACTTACCTACTTGGGAAACCACTTCATACAATGCATCAAACCGCTTAACGATTTTTTTGGTACGTTAAATTAATACAAACTTTGATACTAACAATACCATAATATTATATAATTAAGACAAAGAAATATTAAATTTAAAGTTCAAATTAAGTGCGTTTTTTTGAATGAATAATTGACATTATTTGCCTTGAATTACTCTCAAAACCCAAACAGAAAATTACCGTTTAATATAGATTACTATAGATAGATTAGTAGATTAATAATATTTTTCTCATTTTTTTGGATCATAAGATCAATTTATGGGAAGTTTTTGAGTTTAAGTCGATTTTTCTATATATAAAAAAGTGCATCTTATGGACTAAAAATACGTTAATAAATGTTAAATTGAAAAGACAAATTTGTAATAATTAAGTATGTGTAATACAATTATCTCGTATTCGATGTTATAAAACAATGTGCGTTTGTATAAATCACTTGAATTGCTCCGAACTGTAACGAATTGCCGTTTAAAAGTGAAATCAATAGCAATTAATTAGTCGTCGGTGCATTTGGAAACAAGCGGAGTTTTAGTTTTTTTCGATTAAAACGAGCAAATAGATGCGATAATTCTTTTCGGAATGGATTGGAAATGTTCGCTTCGTGATACATTCTGAATGAATAGTAGTATTATAGATCAATCGGATGAATAGATGTAGCAGAATTTTTGATCCTCCTTTTATACTTGTACCTTTCACTTTTATCGTCACCGTCTTCATCATCATTCATCTACCGTTTTATGAATGCCTTTTAATGCAACAAAACGACACAATTAATTTCGTATTCACGCTGACGACGTTGGTGGCCGGTCATTCCCTCTATTTATTCTAAACTTTCCGCACGAGTGTATAATGAATGGTTCATTAGCAGCGAAGCACGAAATGCATTTATTTCCAGTTTAAATGTGTACACATACGAAGAGCTGGGTTTAAGGGTGGTTTCTGAGGATGGGGGAGGTGTATATGTGTTGGAAACCGCCGTGGAAATATTAAACGGAAACTAGTTGGGGATATTTTGGAAAGTTGCTCCGTGCAGTAGGTGAAAACCCAATTAGGCTCTAAGTCGATTATGCATGGCTAAGTTTCCAAAACCCTATCTCGCCCATTAAACGCAATTAATACACCTAACACATGCACGTCTGGCAAGTGTCAAATGATTACATCATATCCTTCCTGCTTCTTTGTTTCCTCAATACATTTACGCCTACTTTTCTTTCAAAAGAAGATGGCTTTACAATGATTTAACTACGCAACATTAGACAAGTAGTATTTTGGAGATTCGTTACTTCCAACACTACCACAATCTTTATAACAATGTTTTATCTTCTACATACCAAGTTTAACTGCAGTTTATAAGAATATGGCTTTACAATCATTTCATTAGCAACATTAGCCAAGTAGTATTTTGGAGATTCATTACTTCCAAGACTACCACAATTTATATAACAAAGTTTTACTTTAAACTTGCCAAGTTTAACTGCAATTTATAAGAAGATAGCTTTACAATGATTTCACTACGCAACATTAGTCAAGTAGTATTTTGGAGATTCGTTACTTCCAACACTACCACAATCTTTATAACAAAGCTTTATATTCTACTTGCCAAGTTTAACTGCAGTTTAGAAGAAGATGGCTTTACAATGATTTCACTCCGCAAAATTAGACAAGTAGTATTTTGGAGATTCGTTACTTCCAACATTACCACAATATATATAACAAAGTTTTATTTTCTACTTGCCAAGTTTCACTGTAGTTTATAAGAAAATGGCTTTACAATCATTTCACTACGCAACATTAGCCAAGTAGTATTTTGAAGATTCACAAGATACCACAATTTATATAACAAAGTTTTACTTTATACTTGCCAAGTTTAACTGCAATTTAGAAGGTGATGGCTTTACAATGATTTTCCTACGCAACATTGGCCAATGAGTATTTTGAAGATTCGTTACTTCCAACATTACCACAATCTATATAACAAAAATTTACTTTTTACTTGCCAAGTTTAACTGCAGTTTCGAAGAATATGGCTTTACAGTGATTTCACTACGCAACATTAGCCAAGTATTATTTCGGAGATTCGTTACTTTCAACACTGCCACAATCTATATAACAAAATTTTACTTTATACTTGCCAAGTTTAACTGCAATTTAGAAGGTGATGGCTTTACAATGATTTCACGCAACATTGGCCAAGGAGTATTTTGAAGATTCGTTACTTCCAATACTGCCACAATCTATATAACAAAGTTTTACTTTCTACATGCCAAGTTTAACTGCAGTTTAGTAGATGGCGTCATCAAAGATTTTCCAATTAATTTTCTATCGTTATTAAAATATTGATTTTGTAGTTTTTATAAAAATCTGTTTCTATTATTATAATTGTCTATAAGATGGCAGTACAAAATAATTAGTTTACTTTATACTTGGCAAGTAACCGCACAAGATCATTTTATGTATACTCCCCACTTTCTTATATTATATATATTTTACATGTATAGTTTAACAGTTTTGGAGATGGCGATTTTGTTTTTTTTTATTAAATTTCAATTAATTTCCAATTGTTATGTAAATCTTGATTATGTCATTTTTGTAAAAATTTATTTTTATTTTTTTAATTATCTACTAAATTTATAAGAGAAATTTAACAAGATGTGAAAAAAATGTTTTTTCTTAAATTTTGATTTATTTGATATTTAATTTCTTAAGCTAAGTATTATGTAATGAAATTGATTATTGTAAGAATGATTAGTTGCAAATATATAATTAATGATAATTACATGACAAGTACCAAGTAAATTTTGTAAAATTAATTTTACTTGCATTTGACATTTGCATTAAATTAAATTTGTCGCTCGAACCAAACGTTTCGCTTAATGCTTCCACAACTTTCCTCTCTAGATCCTTGATATATGTGTATATATAATTATGTTATATAATTTCTGTTTGCAGACGACGCCATGCAATTCTCAGGTGTGTTTGGCCAGTGTTATGGGTCAGAACGGAAAGAGCCTTTTTCGAGCAAAAGAGGAGATCCTCAACCACGCCAAGGACTTTCTCAACCAATACTTCACATCCATCAGAAGGTAAAATAATATTCATCATAATATCTTATTTCTTCTAAAACGTAGGATTTCTTTTCACAAATACATCAATACTTAGCGTAGACTGTTAATAGGTTAATCCAATATCCCTGACTATTTGAAACCGGATTATTCGAGAATTATAAAAATAAACCGCATATTAAGAGACGATTAGACGAAAGACGATTATTTATGTATAAAACTAAAAATATCTACAAAAAAATTCCAAATTATTTTCATTTAAAAAAATCTATATTCTCGTTTTTATTTTTAATTATATTTTAATAATTAATTTCTTATTTTAATTACTATAATCTTTTGTATCTGTTTCTGGTTTTGGTTTGTGTTTGTGTTTGTTGTTGGTTATTATTAGCACGACGTGTGCTCATTCGCACTGAAAAGGAGAGGAGGAATTAACGTGCAAATATAATAAGAAAAGTTGGAGTTTCGGAATACAATGTAATCATCACTTAAATTTCCCCGTGCAAAACCGAAATCCAGAGCACGAGAGCTTTCAAAATAATTACTAGTCTCTTCTGCTCTCGTCAACAACATCATCAAAGCTAAAATTTCTAATACATGAACATCCCATAATTAAAAAAACAACATATATATTTTTTTAACCTTTGCCAAATATGATTAAAAACGCAAATACATTTGATTATTCTGGATAATCTGGATATTTGGATTAACTTTTCATAATTTATTAAAAATTAATTAACATACAATTTATTTGTATGCTTTCTATCATCAAAACCATTGAATCATTCTAATAAGATCAGTTTATTAATGAGAATACAAAAAAAAACTATTACTTTAAAAACAATATTTTTGTTAATATTTTTTTTCATTTCTGTATGAAAAATATTTTTGTATATATATGTATGAAATTTATTTCTTAATCACATTAATAGTGTTAATACCAACGTTATAAGTCGTAAATTAATTATATTTTGCATTTCTGTAATGAAAACCAATTTTATTTATATTTTTTCCAATAATTATAAAAACTTTATTTTAGGAATATTTCCTCTAAAAATTGATATTTTAAATAATGGGACTTTTCCCAAATGTAACCATTACTTTTCACATTATGTAAATTTTCGTTTAACATTAACGTTTCGCATTGTTATGAAGTGATTGCACTTTAAGTGATTTACAGTTCAGAGTAACATAAATTTATTACACATTTTCGTGCGCCGAATATTTTTACATTGCGTTTATGTTACACTTTTTTTGCATCATTTTTGTCTTTCTTTTTGCATATTTTTCTCTCTCTTTCGTTCGTGGTGGTACAATGTAAGGGAATGCAGGCGCAGAAAAGTTTTTGAAAAGATAAGGGCATAAAGGGAATCCGGCCCTGGCGGTGCACGCTTTTAGAAATTAAATTGAAAATATTGCCCCTATAGGAAGTTATGGCCTCGTTCGGATGAATTTTTACAGCGCAATCCCGATACATCCTAGTTTTATATAAAAAGAAATAATAATGGATAAACGTAACATAAACTCTCTTTCCTCTACAATTTGAATAATCTAATCCATACTTTTCTCAAAGTTTCTGGTTTAGTTTATATGTAATAAAATCACAATAAGATTAAGAATATTACCATTACTTTTCCGAATATTTCTCAAGTATTACAAAGCTTTTATATGAAAAAAAATATTTGGAATAAACTACTTGTAAAAGTAAGTTTATTGTAACAACATTCATATATTTATACAAAGAATTCCAATAAAATCACTATGAAGTTAATCCAAGTACTTGTCAAGTATTACAATCTTTTATATACATAAATCATGTGCATAATATAAGTACTTGTGAAAATTAGTTTCTTATAAGAATACTAATATGTTTACACGAATCCAATGAATTCCAATAAAATCATAATGAGAGTACTTATCAAGTATTACAAAGTTTTTACATGCCTAAAACATGTGCATGAAAATTCTTGTAAAAGTCATTTTATTGTAAGAAAATTAATATATTTACATGAATCCAACGAATTCCAATATAATCGCAATTAAATTAGGACTATTTCCATTACTATTCCAAGTACTTCTAAAGTATTATAAAGTTTGTATATTCATAAATTATATGTATGAAAGTCATTTTAAATATTAGTTTATTGTAAGAAAATTATTATGTTTACACGAATCCAATGAATTCCAATAAAATCTCAACGAAAGTACTTTTCAAGTATTACAAAGTTTGTACATATATGAATATACTTGTACATGAATCCAACGAATTCCAATATAATTGCAATTAAATTAGGACTATTCCCATTACTATTCCAAGTACTTCTCAAGTATTATAAAGTTTGTATATTCATAAATTATATGTATGAAAGTAATTTTAAATATTAGTTTATTGTAAGAAAATTAATATGTTTACACGAATCCAATGAAATCTCAACGAAAGTACTTGTCAAGTATTACAAAGTTTCTACATATATCAATATACTAGTACATGAATCCAACGAATTCCAATATAATCGCAATTAAATTGGGACTATGCCCATTATTATTCCAAGTACTTCTCAAGTATTATAAAGTTTATATATCTATAAATTATATGTATGAATGTATTTGTCAAGTATTGCAAAGCACTTCTCTAATATTATACACATATAATAAAATCATCATTAAATTAGTAGTGTTTGCATTACAATTGCAAGTAATTGCAAAATCTTTATCCGCATAAATGATGTTTATAAAAATACTTGTAAAATAAGTTTGTTGTAAGAATATTCATATGTACATGTTAAGTATTAGAAAGTTTTTAAACACATGCATCATATGTATAAAAGTACTTGTAAAAGATATTAAAAAATAAATAGTTAGTAGAATTTATATAATTATTCCAAGTGATTTTCAAAGAAACAAATAAAGAGTACCCGTACAGTGCGGCTTCGATTAATTTGGATTTACTATAAACCGGTTTGAAAGTTTTAAAAGAAATTAAATTTTAATTAAGCTAAATAAAAACACATAATTATCTAAAAAAGATTGTTTTCTTCTTTTATAAAGTCCAGTCACTTTGTATATATTTGGTTCTTCGATTAGTCCGGTTTTAAAGCTATTGCCCGCACTATCCGATGTATTTCTGTATTAATACAAAATTAATACATAATATGTACATGCATCTAAAAGTTGTAACAAAAGTTATTCAAATATGATGTTTACACGATTTCATGAATTGAGTATTAATTATACTTTTTGCGTATGATATCAAGTTGTGTGATGTAATTGGGTCATTCGTTGCTGTGTATGCAATTTACGGAAAGTTACAAATATTTCATAATTAAAATGGTGGTGAGTACGAATCAATAGATTAATTACGTATTTTCATTTTTTTTTTACAAAAAATTTAAAGCAGGAATATTTCAAACAGTCCGGTATATTGATGGAATGCAATATCTGCATTATCTGTGTTCACATATTTTTCTTTCTTAATCCAAATTTATGATTGAACTGTAATGAAACTATGCGTATATGATAGTGTATAATTTTAATATATTTTTTTTATTTTAACTTGGGTTTCAATTAAAATTATTTATATTAATTAATATTAATATAAAGTATAATTAATGGTGGATGTAACTGTAACGATCAATGAAAAACTGTAGTAATTGAACAGTAATTAATGAATGGGCGCACAAATGTGAATAGATGTCAATTGTATTTATATATAGAATGAAATTGCCAAAGTAAATTAAACCGCATTTTGTTGAACCGCAGAGCCCCATTGAATTCATAATTTCGCTTCGGTCGAACTTCACTATTTACATACAAAACAACAACCTGTTTATTCCAAAACCAAATGTACTCACTTTACTATTACATGTATTAACAAAAGGTACATTGTATACTTGAAAAATAACTCAAGTTATTTCGCAAATAGAAAACTTTTTATAAATACTCTTGATGTAAGAAAAGTTCTTGACAAGTAAGTTTACATTTACCAAGTAACTTATCATAAGTTGAATACAATGATTATTAATGACATCTTTAGATTGTGACTGTTTATAAATACGCATTTGATGTATGTAAAGTAATTGAGAAGTTATTTTACATTTACCAATTAACTTGAAAAGTACGCTTAATACAATGATTCTTAATGACATCTTTAGAGTGTGACTATTTATAAATACACATTTGATGTATGAAAAGTACTTGGAAAGTTATTTTACATTTATCAATTAACTTGTCAAGTACGCTTAATACAATGATTATTAATGACATCTTTAGAGTGTGACTATAAATATACATTTGATGTATGAAAAGTACTTGAGAAGTTACTTTACATTTACCAATTAACTTGTCATGTACGCTTAATACAATGATTCTTAATGACATTTTTATACTGTGAATATTTATAAATACACATTTGATGTATGAATAGTACTTGGAAAGTTATTTTAAATTTATCAATTAACTTGTCAAGTACGCTTAATACAATGATTCTTAATGACATTTTTAAACTGTGAATATTTATAAATATACACATTTGATGTAAGAAAAGTACTTGATAAGTTACTTTACATTTACCAAGTTACTTATCAAGTAAGTTTAATACAATGATTATTAATGATATTTTTTGTATAATCAGTAAATTACTTATATTATTTTAGGTTTTAATGAACAAATTCAATTAATTTTATTTCCTAAATTTAATAAATTTCAAGTCTTTAGAAACAAAAACAAAACAATTTATTAAGACATTTTACAATTTCTTTTGAATTTCCATGTATTTTGAATTTTATATTATTTTATTCTATGGATTTTTTCTATCTAAATATTAAGTTTAAAAAAATACGTAATTTTATTTACACTAATGATGTTTAAAAAGTACATGACAAGTTATTTTACATTTAGCAAGTAACTTGTCAAGTACGTTTAATGCAGTGACATTTTTATACTGTGACTATAATATATACACACTTGATATATGAGAAGTACTTAACAAGTAACTTTACATTTACCAAGTAACTTATCAAGTA